TGCGGTGGCTGGGAGCGGCCACTGCACTCCAGTCTGGGCGACAGAGTGAAACTCCAACTCAAGAAATAATAATAATAAATAAAAACTTAATTTTCGTCATTTCAGAGGTGACTTTTTGATAAAAACTTGACACCATCTCTGGCCCCCAATGCACTTGGCCACAGGACAACTTGAAATGTTGGGAGTACTGTCTCTTATGTCCTGCTCAGTCCCTGTCTTTATACCCTAGTCCATGCTTTGTCCTTTCGCTGACAGCTAAGAGGTAGCTCTTGCAGAAGGACAAGAAACATGATCCCCTCCTCGTCCTATACCTTCTTTAATGTGGTCAGTTATAATCTCTGCACAAATAAAATGGTTTGGGCATAGGAAAGAGTGTCAGGCAACCTTAGTGCCAAGGCTTTGATGATGTCAGCCTCCCAAAAAGAGTTAAGAAGGGAAAGAGGGAGAAAACTCACCCCAAAATGAGTGAAAGAGAAGTATGAAGTGGGTCCATCTTGAATGAGGGAGAGTTCCCCTCCACTGCCCCACAGTAGAATAGAGAATGGAATAAAGTAGTGAAAGTGAAGTTATTTTTTGTAAACTGCTGGCTCACGTTCAATTCTGTCACTCGCATCTTTTATTCTTGCTTTCACATAGCTCAGTGCTTTTTTTTTTTTTTGCTTCTTCGAGAAACTAGTGTGACAAATGCCCTGCCACCTGCAGATGAGTTCCTGACTCTGCTCACCTACACTGAGTCAGGCCTCTAGTTAACCAGAAAGTCCAATATCAACCTCTGATAGTCCGGCCTGGGATAAAGAACTTCATTCAGAGCAGAAAACTTATATTATTCATGTATTCATTGGCTTAACAGTCAAGAAATATTTCATAACTGCCTGCTGTCTCCAAGCACCATTCTAGGTACTGGGGATGGATAAACGCCCTTCCTAAAGTGAATATTCTAGTGGAAGAGGTAGTCACACAAAATATGTACAGCGCCTGCTAGTATACACAAGCTTGGGAGTTGGTAGAGAGGAATAAATCATAGTGCTTGTTCTCCAGGGGCTTGTGGACTAGGGCTGAAGCTGACCCACATGGAAATACTTTCAGAAAACATGACAAAGACGTGGCTCTGGGCGTATTATGGATGGAGACTGGGAAGCCTTCTAAAAGGGGTCGGTATTTTGAGCTGGAGCTTGAAGATAGCACTTCCACAGGTAGATATTGCTGGGACAGGCATGCTGAGAAGAAAGAAGAGCTTAGGCAAAGGTCCTGAGGCAGGGAAAGATAGGTGGTGATAAAGTATGACACAGGCTGACTGTGTGCATTGTCATATAGCCAACGCTTCTCCAAGTTTCACCAAAGCCCTTTGGCCACGGTTGTGGGCTCCAGACTGGGAAGGGGATGATTCCCTTGTCACCAACTCCCCCAGAGGAGTCCAGGAGCCCTCAGGGCCACCAAAGCCTATCTTCATTTTGGGTGTACCTTGAAAGCTCTGTAAACTCCTGCTCTTAGCTGTACACTCATGGTCCTTAAGATGTATGCGATTCATGCGAAACAGAAAGCAAATCTTTCCCTGTGCCAGGTTCAAAGCCAGCTTGCTCGAACCTCCTTTCTAATCGCAGACCCTCAGGACTGCTCTGACTCCTGAATAAGAGGCACGAGTGGGAACCAAAGCCCTGTGGGACTCCCCATGGTGCCCAGTCTGTACCCAGGGACTACAGTGGCAGGCAGTGACCCCAAACTGCTTTCTCTTGTCCTTGGGTCCCCTTGGAAGATTAACCCACTTGTCCTTCCCCCATCCCCCGCCCCTGAGCCTGGTGGCACAGACACTTAGCGATTTGCTCCTTAATTGTCCCCCAGCTAGGCTGCGCAGATGCCGCTCTTTAATCTCTCCTGATAAATGAATCGCGCCGCTCCTTTAATCATATGTTCATATCCAAGCCAATTTGAATCAATTTGGCAGGGAGTGTGTTGCAAGAGATGCCATGACTGCTGTTTCTCCCCCCAGGGCCCCGGAGCCGCAGCAACTGCTGTCCTCACCCTCAGCAGAGCCCAGGAGGCCCATCGGGGAAAGGATCTCCTACCTGAATGGTGGGGACTTTTCAAAGTCAACTCATTCATTCCTGTCCTCCAAGTAGGCTGTGTGGGACTGGAGGGAGCTGGATTCCCAGAGGCCTCAGAAGTGGGAGGGAGGGGGATGAGTGCACAGCCTACCTTGGTCACTGAATAAAGGGCCCTATTATCATCCCTGGGAGAAAGTGCTGCCTTAAATCTAACCCTAATCCTTTCTGTTCCCTCTTCATTTCCTCTGTGCTGGTTCTCAGGGAAGCTGAAACATTTCATCACCTTTTATATAGCAACACATTCCAGACAAGTCTATGATAATTTGTCCTTGCCGGCTACTGCTACTGGCGGCCACCCCAACTCCTTTCATCTTCCCCTAAGACATATTTTCTAAAACCTCCAGCCTGGTGGGCAGTCCAGGACACTGCTTGATAATGTCCCAAGCTCTGCTGCGTTTGGGGCTGCTGTCTTTTCACCTCCAGAGTGTGCTCACATGCAACAGTGATAGCAAAGCAAAAATAGACACAACCTGTTAAACTGAGCACCTCTTCTGCCTTTAGCACTGTGACCTTAGAGAAGGAGCTTCACCTCTCAGGCCTCAGTTTCTCCATCAGCAAAACAAAGCAGCATTGCTGGTGAGAACCTTTTGGCTCCTAAATTCATGACTGCAACAGAATCTCCCATGCTCACCCCCTTCATTGCCTGTGATGAAGAACCAGAGAGACAGACAAGTGGTCCCAGGGGAGCTCCAAGGGACCGGTGCTGTGAGAGGAATGTCCTGTGTGGTCCATCTGGGGTTAGTTTCCATCCCTGCTTAAGCCTCAATGTCCTTTTTCATTTCTTCTTTCCTGGTCTGCTCTTCCAGTCCAGGCAGGTGCCTTGCCATTCACTGGGAACCAAGAGTTATTAGCATATTCATATATCATTTGCATGTCCATGGTCTTTGGAGCACGTTCCTCTGGCTCCTCCCCACCTGGAAGTTCTTCCCACACTTCCCAGGAGCCACACCCCTTAAAAGGGGCATTGCTGGTCTGTTGATTGGCTTTTAAGCAGCTGACAGAGGTGAGGCCTCCGGTGCTGTTCTTTTTAATGATTGCAGAGGCATGAGGACCGGTCTATTTGTTCAGCAACCCAGAAATGCAGTATCCCGCCCTTTTAAGGGCAGTTGGAAATCCTTGGCCTCAGTTGGAGCTGAGCCAGTAACTGGGACTGAGGACGCCCTTCCCAAACTGTCAGTAATGATCTGTACGATAATGAGGGTGATAGACCAATTAATATTTTCCATTTGTTGAGTCCTTACTATGGTCTCAGCACTTGTACACTTCACCTACAAAATTTCGTTTAACCTCCTTCACAACTCTGTGAAGTGTCATTGTCCTCGTGGGGAAACTGAGGCTGAGAGGTGACGTCATCTTTCCAAGCAGGATCCTCAGTTTTGTTCCAGCAGCTGGCCTTTCTGGCCTTGTCAGAGGATGACGTGTGCTTGGTATTCACCAAGTCCTGGCCTTAGGAAGGAAACACTTCTTGGCAATTTGGGAGGAAAATGCCTACCTCACATTTGTGTCGCTCTTTACAATTTTCAGAGCATCCCCCATACATTATCACATTTGCACTTCACTCCCACTGTGCCAACAATATGAATAACAGTTTCACATAGCTCAGAATGCATATTTTAAGCTATATTCACTTCAGTCTAATTTCATTACAGTATAACAGAACAATCCAGACCATTCTCTGCGATTCGATCTGGGAGGAGAGATTTTTAGAGCAATCGTCATTTTGGAGTTAACAAGGATGCTATTTTGTTTAGAAGGAATTTTACAGAAAAATTGAGTCTTTAGTGTAAGCCCGAGTTATGGGTCATACACATAAGGGAGATTCCAAAAAATATGTGTGCTTTGCAACTGAAGTCAGTGACATAAATCTCCCAGTGGAATACTTATATGTACAGAGAGAATTTGCTCTAGATATCAAAAGTCAGCTATGACAGTTTTACCAAAAAATTTT